GTAAGTTTCATGGTCTTTTGTCATTTTTTGTTCTCAGCATCCCAGCAAAACGCAAGGCTTGGCACGCCTTGCGTTTCCTCGGATGTTTGTGAAGCTGGCCTTCGCATACAGCCAAGACAAACATCGTTGCCAACTTGACGATATCCTGTTGAGACTACGAGGAATTCGATGTCGCCCAATGTCGGACCCCGGGTGACCACGGCACAAATGAGAGGCTTTCTCTTTGTGAGTGGATTTTTGCCGTAAGATGTTTCCAGCCATCGAGTTACAAGTCCCGCATCTTTTATTGGCACGGTCCTTGGTCTTCTTTAGTGCCTCTTCAGCTCGCGTTTCCCGCTCCAAGCCTTGCGTTTTGCTGTGATGCTAAAATTGTTATTCTTACGCTTGTTTTTTAAATTCTGATCAAATAAACTGGTGCATATGGAACTTAATAAAATACGTTAAACCAATTTCAAAAGCCTTTTAAAAAAAACAAGAAATTGCAAAAAACCACGAAACGGACTTTTTTTTGACAATAGACCATGAAACTTCCAAAGGACCACGATTCAAAGAAAAAGCCAAAAATTCAATTTGTTTGCTTTGTCATATTTTTTTCTCCTTTTCCAAAACCCCTTTTCCCTTCCCCAAATCCCCCCCCCCCCCGGGGCGGGGTTCTTACCAAAACCAACTTTCCTCCCCCCCCCCCCCCCCTCCCCCCCCCCCCCCCCCCCCCCCCAACACTTTTCGGGGGGTTGTCCCCCCCCTCTCTCCCCCCTCTCCCTATTTTTCCCCCCCCCTCCTCTCCTCTCCTTTTTTTTTTTTTTTTTTTTCTTTTTTTTTTTTTTTTTATTTCCCTATTTTTTTTTTTTTTTTTTTTTTTTTTTTCCCCTTTTTGTTGGCCCCCCCCCCCTTTTTTCTCCCCTCCCCCCGAAATAAATTCCCTTTTTATTTTTTTTTTTTTTTTTTTATATTAAATTTTTTTTTTTTTTTTTTTTTTTTTTTTTCTTTTTTTTTTTTTTTTTTTTTTTTTTTTTTTTTTTTTTTCCCCCCCCCTTTTTTTTTTTTTTTTTTTTTTTTTCTTTTTTTTTTTTTTTTTCATTTTTTTCCCCCCTGTGACAAGCCAAGTGCTCAAAAAAATGTTTATTTTTCCATGAATTCCCCGAATACGACTTCGTCAAAGATGATCCGGAGGTTTGGATCGCTCACAGCAATCCCATCCTGCCGCCACTAAACATTTCATCGATCTCTGCCATCTTTTGCTTAATCCTATTTGTTGTTATCGAAATTTTATCGATGGTTTGCTCAATATTATTTCAATCTACTAACCTCTTTTCTTCTAGTTGTTCATCTGCTTTGGACACTCTTCGTATTTACTCGATTCACGTGTTGATATAAGCGCAAAAACGAGGAATCTCCAGAAGAAACTCTTGCTTGCCCTCTTTTTTCAGGTATTTTTTCATCTTCTTGGAGTTTTTCTGATTTAGCTTTTTTAATCAATAGTTAAGCAAGCTTTAAGTCCGGAGTCCAAATTCACCAACCGCTAGATTCAGCGAAATTCAAAATCCAGCGATCCAGCGATCCAGCGAAATTTGCTCGATTTCCCGGTTTACAATCTTGGGGTATAACTTTTTCAATTTTAACATTTTTTTGTTAGCTGTTTTGTTTTTTAGAAACTAGATAAACTTGTGATTCTGCTCATGCAAAAATGATTTCAACTTGATGAAAGAAAAGAAAAGAAAAGAGATTTGTCTAGGGGGGTAGGGGTAGGGAGTTTGGCGACACTTCTCTTCTCCTCCATAACTCGACTTCCAATTGTCAGATCGACTTCAGGTTGGTTTTAAAATGATCCTTATGAAATTTGGTTATAGAAAACCACAACTTACTTAGGACACTCTAGTGTAAGAACATAGAGAAAACTTGAGTCAAAGTTGAACTACCTACCCGAAAAAGTCGCTAAGAAAAGTCGAAAACGCTAATGAGTGCTGAAAGTTTAGGGTTATTTTACTTGCTGGTTTTCTAACTAGTTAAAATCATTTTTGCATGAGCAGAAGCACAATTTTATCTAGTTTCTAAAAATCAAAATAACTAGCAAAAAAAATGTTAGAATTGAAGAAGTTATTCCCCAATTTTGTAAACCGAGGGGGGGAATCTAGCGAATTTCGCTGGATGTTGGCCTAAATTTAAGGCCGTATTCAGATTCTAGAGTCTTTTAAGCCCGCAAGTGCAAATTTTTGGGGGTTTGGTTATTCATTTTGATTGATTTTGATTGATTTTGATTGATTTGATTGATCCAAATCGGCCGTTTCGCAAATAGTGCCCGGTCGTCAATGTGTTAAGGAGATTAAAATTGGCACGAGGATTAATGGAGACAGAGTTAACTATTTAATACGATACGTGTTTCTCTGTCAGGTGTGCGTCCCATTCATCACGATCGCCTACCCGTGGACTTTATTCGGTTTGGTGCCACTTTGTCGATGGATTCTACCACAAGGTTTATCCGCCTTCCAAATTTGAGCCCACCATTTCCAGGGGTTCTCAACTTTTCCTATTTTGTGAGCAGTTTTCATGCAGCCACGTCTTCGTTTTGCATTTTACTCTTCACCGGTCCCTACAAGAAGTTTCTAGGCTCTATGTTTACCCCTCGAATCACTCAACAACGGGCCGCCCTAATAATCTCCGTTCAACAAACAACAAACGACTAATACGACCCATATAATTAGAAAAAAACGTGCTTATTAACGTGGACATTGCAATACACAACACAATACAGGATGTTCAGAAAAAAAGTTCCCTATTTTAAATCAAATTTCGGAAAAATTTCAAGTGGCTCAAGGTGGTGGTGGTCTTGGTGTTAAAGCTGTTTTTTTGGCGTCATAATTTTTTTGACTTTTTTGGAGATTTTCTTGATTACATGACCGTCCTGTAAATGAAAAATTCATCACTACTATATCCCCACCACCATCCCAACAACAACAACAACAACAACAACAACCACAACAACAACAACAACAACAACAACAACAACAACAACAAATTTCAGTTTTATTTTGTTTTGCTGATCCATTTCAAGTCCATTTTTTTAAAGTAAGTCTTATTATTCCCGCTCTATTTTTTCATTTCTAAAATACAGCTTTTAAAGTAAAAGTCGAGTGTTGGCTTTTAGGGAACACGAGCCTTTGGATAAATGAAATTTTGCAAATAAATCATTTCGTACTTTGACAAAAGAATAATTACACGAAATTATCTATTTGCAACTACTCAAAAAAGTCATAAAATCCTTCAAAAAAACGCAGAATCCCCAAATTTCCAGTTTGCACGGGCGCGTGCCGTGCCGGGATCGTTGGCACGGGTGGGATCGGCGCGGTAGCTGCCCCCGGGTGCTTCCAAGCTTGCATGGCAGGATATGCGATCACCGGAATTCCATAGAAAAGACTCCAAAGAAGCGCACATAATGTAATAATGTACCTGTTTTCCTAATTAGTACTGTTCTAAAGGCTTACATCTGGTTTAGATTCAATTTGAAACAAAATTTGCTGCCAATTTTTCCTTCGAATAACTTTTTAAATGGAAGAATTACTTGTTTATGAATACGTTTTAAAGTTGGAATTAATTCTTCTCCAAGAGAGCCGCCTCCTCAGGGGTAATTTGGCTCCCTAGTGGCCTTCTAGGCCCCAAAGCCTGATCCTCCGTTAACCTAAGGGCCCTCGGGGGCCTTTAGATAAAACCCCCTTATACTACAATCTAAAATTGAGAGTACAATCTCGACCTTTAGCAATTTAAAATGAAAATACAACCTCTACAAACACAATACAACGGAAAACAATCGTAGCCTTTATTCAATGGAATCGGTTATTATGAGAAAAATCGAGCCCTCATCGTTTAGCCATCTTCATTAAAAGCCTTTCGTGTTGCAAAGGAACGTGTTGGCCGGGATCTAAATTGCAAAAACTTTTATGGATAATAGGATAATAACTTTTAGCAGTTTTTCAGATATATTTAAATCCAGTAATCCAAAAAAAAACTGGTCTTCTAAAAGAAGTTGCTCCCAGTTTTTCTTCACTCACATTTCTAAATTGCCATTCGTTTCCGATCACACACCGAAAAGTGACAGTCGCGTCTTCTTGAAGAGGCTAGGAGTATTTTATGTACAATTAAGAAGAAAATTGGTTTGGCAAGTACCTATTATCTATTATTTTTGAAGAGTTTTACTTAAACAAAGTTAAAGTCTTCCCCGTTAATTAAGGGCCCTCGGGGGGCCTTTAGATAAAGCCCTTATCTAAAGGATAATAATCATAGCCTCAATAAAATTTTTTTTCGAGAAAATTCATTTATTTCATATTTATTTGTTAGATTGATTGCTAGAAATGATAAAAATTAATTGGGAAGATTAATTTGTGCTCAAAATAAAGTTTATTCACATTTAGCGTGGTCAACCTTTTAGGGCTTTTTTTATGGATTTTGTATTTTCTTTTGGTTTTTTTGGTGCTTCTATGCGTGTCATAAAAGTTTAATTTCAGGTTAAACAATGTCGGAGAAGGAGGAAGTTATCTCGAAGCCCAAGTATCTTCTGGTGGAATTCGAACAGCTGGAATTGCTTCTTCAACATTGTCAATACAACATTGTCACCTTTGTGGTTGGGCACTTGGTGGAAAAACTGCCGGAAAAGGGAGAAACATTCAGGGGACGGAAAATGTCACAAATTTTACCGCCAGAACAAGATGCTCGTGCCAAAAGTATGGTCGCATGCGTTGGTCAGCTCAGAAATTTATCGAGAGCACTGAGACTCGTACTGGAAATCTTGCTGTCAGGGCTGCGGCACAAGTTGCCCCAATTGGACATGCAGATCTTGCCTTGTTTTTCCCTACTTCTCTAGATATGCCATTGCTTTTCAAAGCAAAATTCCCTGATACTCTCCAAGTTTTAGATCTGACCTAGTGTTGAGGAAGAATATCAACAACAGCAATATCACCAGCGAAATTTTCGATTAAAACCTTTTTGCCTTTTCGAGCTCTGATTGACTAACTCACCGGTCGTCCAAAGCTCTCGTGCGTGTCGACGAAATACGTGGCGTTTGTATATCTTATGGCAAAGTAGACCTGAATTCAATTTAGGCAAATTTTCAAGAGTTATAATACGTATTCTCAAAAATTTTTCATTCAACTCACTTGGACCTTTGGCGTAAAGTGACAGAGGTATTTGGCGGTCATGCACCCGGCGGCATCAGTGCTAAAATGTTTGTACAGATAAAGATTCTATAATAGTTTTGCGGTTTTAGCAAAACTTGCCTTTTTCTGCTCTACGTGACTGCAATAAGTAAAAAATCTTACGAGTAGGTAAAAGTCAAAGTCCCGTCATCGCCAGCCCTCTTGAATGTGGCCAAGTTTTGAGCGCAACCCCCGGCACAAGCTAAACAAATGATTGAACTTAAAATTGCTCATTTTAAAACAAACGTGGTGGAGTTGTTGAGGTTGTAGTCTAAAATTTGAGTCTCATTTGAATGATTTCAAAATAAACCGTCGGACAAACGAGTGGATGGAGAACTTGAGCTGGAGCCAATTGAAGGCCACATTGTGAGGTGTTTGTGACCATATTTTTAACCTAAGCATTTTGCTCTGTTAGTTATTATATTTTTCTGAAACTGATAAGGTTTAACGCTTACCACAAGATTCCCACCACAACATTTCGGCACTGCTGGACAGGGCACCTTGGGGCAAGTGAATTGTTGAAAGGTGGGGCCGCTGAATTCAAGGATTAATAACTATTACAGCAGCTCCGATTGTAATACAAATTCGTAATGTTTTGATGAAATGAAAAATGCCAAATATCGATCCCTTACGTGCATGGACATCCATAGCTTGTTGATTGACAAGTTCTCGTTTGGTTCACCTTTCCACAAAGGCCACACGTCGCCGAGCATTGACCGACGTTAGACCAAGCTGACCAAACGCCTGAAACATTCTTCGAAATATGTTAGAAGCAGCAAAATATCAACGACCGGCCTTAAACTCTTTAAAACTCCTTAAACTTGACCAATATACTATCAGGGTGTAAAGAAAATATTAGGTTGGTAAAAAGAAATGAGCGTCGTGTTTGTTGATTTGTATTTTATTCACAGTAAAAGATGTTAAAATAGTTTATTCTATTGGGAAGAGCGTGTTCTTGCGCATCGTTTCATATATAATTTGTCTATGTTTACTTTGTTTTTTTACAAGAAAGAGTGCTTAGAAAATGTCGGACCAAAAATTTCGCTTGCGGGCCTGCTTGTGGTATGAATTTAAGCAAGGCAAATCGGCTGCTGAAGCTCATCGCGCTCTATCTCAAGTGTTTGACAAAGATGCTCTATCCGAAAGTCAGTGTAAACGATGGTTCCAGCGCTTCCGAGACGGCGACGAAAGCTTGGAAGACCAAAAACACGGGAGTCGACCTCAAATCATCGACAACGACGCATTGAAGGAAGCCATTGATCAGGCCATTGATTCTCTGCGTGAACGTTGGCGACAAGTCATTGATGCAGATGGCGAATACCTTTTGGATTAATGTATTGTTATCTTGTTTTTATAATAAAATAAACTTTTAACGAAAACGCGCATTTCTTTTTTTACCAACCTGATAATGCGCCCTTCGAATTTCCCGATGCTGGCAATTTTCCAAGTGTTTGCTTACGTCATGTTTTGAACAAAAATAAACTACACACTTGCTACTTTTATAATCATTCGCTAGTGGTTTTTACTGCAAAAAAATGTATGACAAAAAGTTCGTGCTTTGAGCTGTTATGCTCTACGATTTTAAACGAGGAAAAACCCCTGCTGAATCTCACCGTTCACCTGTCAAAGCTTTTAGAGATGATTGTATCAGTGAAAGTCTGTGTCGTAGATGGCTTCAGCTTTTTTGAGACGGCAACGAAAGCCTCTACGATAAGCCACATACTGGACGCCCTCTAGAAATCTCAGATAACGATTTGCTCAATGCTATTGAATTTGATCTCGCATTACTCTTTGAGAATTAGGAGAATTTTTCAACATTAGCCATGTGACAATTGAAAACCATTTGCATCAACTTGGGAAAGGTTCGGCATGAAAAATGGGTTCCACTTGAGCTGACCCAAGGTAACAAAATAGCTCGTGCCACCGTGTGACACGATAACGCTGAACCCCACACGGCAAAAGGCACTCATAAAAGAATTGAGGAGTTACGTTGGAAATTTTTGCCTCACGTTATAGCTCGTGTCACCGTGTGCTCCATCTTGCTTCGAAAGTGCAAATCAAGCTATTTTTTTCGGCGGAAACTTAACTTCTGATGAGGCTTGGATCAGTTAAGACAATGTCACTCCAAAAAAATCAATGGCTATTTGCTGGTGAAGCCCCACAAACCACCCCCAAGCCCGATATCCATGGATCGAAGATCATGCTCTGTTTATGGTGGAACTCGAAAGGATTGGTGCATTGTGAAGTGCTAAAACCTAGACAAACAGTCGATGCAGACCTTTACTCAAAGCAATTAGTAAGAGTTAACGAAGCTTTAAAGAAATTGGGGATCAAATCGTCAAGAGTCCGATTTTTGCTAAACCCTACACTGCAAAAGCCACTCATAAAAGAATCGAGGAGCTAGGTTGGAAAATTTTGCCTCACGATCTTGCACCGTCAGATTGTTTTTTATTTCGGACGTTGAAACACTTCTTGGGAGATGTACAGTTTGATAATCATGCGCAATTTATAAATAAGCTCCACGCCTATTTTAACTTCTGATAAGGCTTGGATCAAAAGAACCGTTTGAATTCGACGATGCGATCCGGGATCTGCGGCGCAGAAGATGAGAAGAAGTCATTGATAAAAATAGAGAATACCTTACCGATTGATCTTTGCTTGTTTGAGTGTTTTTCTTTCAAATAAATAGTTTTGATTAATAAACACGAATTATTTTCTTTACACCCTGATAGATCAATTGGCGGTCAAAACGAAATTGGAAATTCTGAGTCTCTCAAAATTTGAACGTCACAAATTTTTTTGTTTGCCATGTACAATTTAAATGCCGTAAAAGCTGTAATAGTAGTCCTGGGGGCATTATTTTTTCGCTGATTCTCTAGGGGGATTGGGGAGGTCACTATTAGAGAGTGGGGGCTACTATTGGGTTGTCCAGTTATGAATGCGCGTTTTTACTATTTTGTAAATTTCTCAAGATATCGAACAGATGTATATGAGTGTTATATATCATTCGAAAGCTGAAGATCTCCTCTACATTTTGGAATAAAAAAGTTTTTGAATTCATTCAACTTTTTCGGAAATTGACTGCACAAAGGGAGAGGTCGTTTTCGAAAAAACCCATTCCAGCTTAGCTATTCCTCAAGTTTTATGGTGTAAAATAACCGCCTAGAAAAGAAAAGAATGGTAAAGATGCTCTGAAATTGTTATATTTTAAAAAAAAGTTGTACCGATATATCTATTGGTCAAACATCAAACGGTTAACTCAATTTGAGCGCAACCAAAACTTGATCCAAAAGCACCCTTCCATTTTTTGGCCACCTCTTCTTCTGTGCAGTCAATTTGCCCAAAAGCTGAACAAATTCCAAAACTTTTATATCAAAATGTAGAGGAGGTCTTCAGCTTTCGAATAATACCTTTTATGTTTTTTCTTATATATATCTTTTTCTTGATTTCGGTATCTTGAGAAATTTACAAAATAGTAAAAAACGCGCATTCATAACTGGACAACCCAATATTACAGCTTTTACGATATTTGAATTTTGTGCTTAAGTTGAATTCACCGCCAATCGGACACGGGAAACAGTTGATAGGTCCAACCCAACCACCGAAACCGAAACAAGCAGGGGCCACGTAATCCTCTGCGTTCGTCACATTTCCACAAAGAAATTGGCCCGAGGCCGCTTTGTACTAAAAAAAGGAAATCTCTAAGGAATGTTGTTTAAATTTTCTTACAGTATAGCACTATTTTAGCTACCGTAAATACTGTAATAGTACCCCACCCCCCTCGTACAGTCGCGTAGCCGCAAAAGTTTTTTAGTATTTCATTTTTTTCAAAGCGCCCGTACTTTCAAAAATGCGTCTTTGGTATCAAAAAAATAGCTGAAATTCAGGGCTATTTTTTGATACTTAAGCGCGCATTGTAGCATAAACCAGTGTCGAGAAAAACTCGTTCAAAGCTAGACTACACAACACTCCGCACCGTCATTATGGGGGTGGGGTACTATTACAGTATTTACGGTATTTGACCGACTTTTTTATACGGAGCCATGCATTCGGGAGCCCTAGGACAAGGAGTCGGTGAACAGGGTACTAATCGGGAATAGGGTCCTCTGTAATTGAAATCATTAAACGAGGAGGCTATTTCTTGTGCTCAGTGATTTATCAATGCAGAATTTTGAAAAAAGAGCTTTTAAAGAGCTTTTATTGGAGTTAACCCACGTGCAAGGGCATCCGAACCCCCACGAATCGCAGGTTCTCCGTTGAACCTTCTTCCCGAAATAGCCACAAGTCTTCGAGCACGATGTGTAGTCGTTCCACTTAGACCAAGCTCCTGGAAAAGCATAGGAATTAAATCAGAAAACAGGCTCTCCTAAAGATCCACTGAAAATCATTTCAGGGGAGTTTGAAAAACGTTTATTTCTGATTACTGTAGCTTGTATAAGGAAATTATAGAAAATTCGACAGAACTAAAGAAATTGTAGATAAAAACAAACCGCCAGCAATTTGAAAGCAGTTATCACAGCAAGGAGTCACTGGATCTTCACAAGGAGGCCAAAGATCGCCAATTGCCCCCACAGAACCCACTGAAATTTTGAATGAACTTTGTGAAGGAGTCCTCCTTTTAAGAACTTTTAAGGAAACTTTTGTGCTGCTTTCTAAATCGTAAACTAATAAGACTTTTGTTGAAAAACAAAACAACAACAATGTTTCTAAAAAACAAACCGCTGAAAACAATCAAAAGCACACTCCGTTGCAGCATTTTGAGATCTGATTTCCGGCTTCCTCTTCAATATTTATAGCATTGAAAATTTCAACCCCAAAGTTCGGCTTACACAAATCGGAAAATATTGTCACATGATGAGCAAATTTTTGATGTTAAAAAGCTTTGGAAAGTCTGAAAAAGCCTAGTGTTCAATTTGCACAGCTTTTTGGTTTGAGTTTTGGTTCGAGTGTTCGGAAAGAAACCATTCAACTATTAAGTACATATTAGACAATAATAAAGCAAAGAAAGGAATTGATAAGAAAAAGTAGATTTCCCGAGAGGGAATTGAATCCTCGACTATTAGTCCTTCTTTAGAGCTGAATTTTTTCATTTTCAAATGCAACATTGAGCAACTACCAGAATTTAAAAATATTTAGATAAAAAGTTGATGTTGATCTTTTGCAAGAAAAATCGGTCCTAGAATCGAAAATGAACAACAAATTTTAGACAGCAAAAGTTGAAAAGAGTCTTTTGAAAACTGGAATTGCTTTTGAAATCAGCGTTCATCTCTCAATAAGCTCTCTTATAGTTTTGAAATATTCAAATCACTTTCGAAAACAGCGTCGAAACAATTACAAAATTTCTGTTTATTAGGTGATTAAAAAAAGTCCACGATCATTTGCAGAAAAATTCAATTTTTATTCGCAAATAATGAACAAAGACAACAACTTTCACTCTTCGACGTAAAGTCCGTCATTCTCTACGATCTTCTGCCATTGATTAGCAAGATTTTGGATCTGCTTCAAGTACCAAACCGGCTCCTTTGAATCAAAGAACTCTTGACACGACATACAATTTCAAGGTGATTGGAGAAATTGAAAGGTGGGAAAATACGGGCGCCAAGATCTCTGATATAATCTTCTTTGCCAACCCTGTTTAATGCTATAGAATTGGTTAGATCCGAAGTGTTAAATTAAAGTAAAATTAGACCGAAACGCACCTGAATCTGAAAGCGCTTCACTGAAAAATTAAAAGCAGTTAACAACACCACAAAAATATATAGTTTTGGCGATTTTCCCAACTACGATACTCTACGCTGCGATGAGCAATTCAGACAAGCTGTCTACTATGGAAGACATTTTTAACACATACATTGAACTAAAAACGTTTAGAGTGTTTGAATTAAACTGTATTTTAAAGTTCATTATTCATCCTAGGAATACTTTTTATTTACTCTATTAGTACTATGCAGTACCATTTTAATAGATACTTAAATAGATACTTAAATAGATACGGCAAATAGATACTTACCAAATCAATCAAATTTTATGTAAAAACTTCAAACACAAAGGAATGATATTTCTCTCAAAAATTCAGGAAAATAGCTACCGTATTTTCTCTAATAGTAGTGCACCCTGAGCGTCGCCTAAATTGCTCGAAATCTCGAAAAGCGCTTAGTAGAACCTATCGATGTGGGGTCGGAAAATGTAGCTAACGATGAGATCTTGTGGGGGATTTGAGTGTTGAGAGCTTCTGCGAAAACGTAGGATAGACATTAGGGTCTTGCGGGTTTAACTCTCACATTATCGATTCAAGGAATGGAATGGTAAGTTTTTGCATTAAAGCAATGA